CTTGGACAACGGTAGAAGTCGAGCAAGAGAAGGGAACTCATACTCGCGCGTGTAGGATGCTACACCTGGATAATTAACTACTAAAACCAATGAGAGTACAACTTGACTTACCTAACTAATCTGGCTAAGGACTAATATCCCTAATATGATAATCTTAATGATAACTTGGATATCTTGCTCATGCGAGGGGTAGGTCGTCGTGAGTGTGGGATCTCAGGCGACGTAGGCACGTAGCTCGTGGAGGAGTAAGGACCGTGTATTGAGATACGTAAGTCCGAGTAACCACATGTACAGAACACATGTCGCGGATGGGGTCGACAAGCCAAGTAACTAGTTACGACCTGTTTATCCGTGAAACTGGCAAGGGGGTGGCGCCGGGAAGATGGTGTACGTTACGAACCGAGGACCCGTTACAGTACAGAAGCCTGACCCGAGACTAGGAAGAGGGGTGGAAACCTGACCCGGGCACCCGCTCGAACCTTTCATGTGACACTCAGGCTGGATTAGGGAAATGTTGGAAGGCGTGAGGCAACCCTTACTCTCGTGTACGAGGTATGGTGGTTAGTTCCGTCCTTCCGTGTGGGTACAGTTGTACACGTCTGCAGAGTCTTGAAAACCTGGAGTCCCTCGGGACGGAACTATTCGGTTGTTCTTTCTTTGTGTACCCATGGTAGCATGAATGATGGACTATGAGCACTTCTGTTATAATGATAAATACGTTTACTTCTATGTTAAGCATAGCATGTCATATTCTTAATGAACATCATTGCTTTCTGCACTTATACAAATGCCTGATAATCACGCTATGTATCCACCAAATACTATATGATGGAATTAAGCCCTGCGAATACGCAATGTACTTATGGTGTTGCTGTTAAGTTGTTTTGTAGGTAAAGGACATTGGCGGCCATCTCACCCATCGGCGGTGGCAAAGTGGGTGAATGGCAGGAGCCGTCCAGATTATGGTGGCAACACCCATGGGCAAGGTGACCACTAGTTATTAGCTATATGAGTGATATGTAGCATAGCGGTGTTGGTAAGAGAGTCGTTTGGTTCACACTACATTTAGTCTTACATTGTATAGTTAATTTATTATATTCAACAAGACTTGTAATATATGTTTCTGCTGAATTATTATGTGCTCCGATGATGGGATGTAATCTTGAGTTGTGGAGGCTATTGTGGTATGATACTCAACCTGGTTCTTAAGAGGAGTTGTCAAGTGCGCTCCTAGGAAGCCACCGATGTTAGTTTGTTTAAATTGGATCAGTCAAGTGGATGACACTCGATTTAGACGGATTAACACGGCGAGTCCCCACAGACTGCAACACCCCTCTGCGTTGCAGCAGGCTAACACAAGCATATATCGTTGATGCTTACTGCTGCGTTGAGGATGAGCGACTCCGGCATTTTAGAAAGGAATCTTTCCAGAAGAAATACAGGTCAAGTTCCTACAAAACATTAGTTGACGCTGCTAATAGTGGCATCACACGTGCCTCCGACGTTGGCCAAGTAACCTTCTTACTAGGTTCATTCACAGGAAGCCCAAGATACTACTACCAGAACTATCAAGATTGTGTTGCAATATGTCTTAGGTTCGGATGTCTGGATCTATTTACCACCTTCACATGCAATGCTTTGTGGCCAGAAATTGAAGACGCCTTATCATCCATACCAGGCCAGCAGGCTTCTGACATACCTGATATTGTTGATTTGAGTTTTTCAGATGAAGCTTAAACTGCTCATGAATGATATAGAGAAGAATGGATTTTTTGGACCCACACTTGCAGGTATTTTTCTAATACCTTATCATTCCATCCTAAACATAACATTGTTACTCCACTCCACTGATGAAATGCACTTCCCTTTAAACTCCGATGCCCCTAATTTTTGCTACCCGTTCATTTCTACGGTCGTATACACAATTGAATTCCAAAAGAGAGGTCTCCCACATGTACACCTCATACTCTGGCTTAGAAAGGATAGTCCTCTCGAAGCTGCTCAGATAGATGCATTCATATCAGCGTAGCTTCCAGATCCAACTACTGATGCCACGGGTTTCGAGGCAGTGTCAAAGTTCATGATTCATGGCCCCTGCGGATCTGTACAACCCTCCTCTCCTTGCATGAACAATGGAAAATGCGACAAATTCTACCAAAAAAATTTTGTGAACAGACGACAGTGCTACCCAACAGTTACGTTAATTATGCTCGCCCAAATAATGGTATCACTGCCCACAAAAACGGAGTTCAGGTGGACAACACATTTGTAGTGCCACATAATGTAGACCTATTGGTCAAATACCAAGCACATATAAATGTCGAGAGTGTCGATCGCAATGGAATGGAGAGATATCTATTCAAGTACACAAACAAAGGCCCCGATTCTGCTAAAGCTACGCTCCAGAGAAAGAGAGGTACCTCTGACAATGCCGCTGCGATGTTTAATGAGATTAACGAATACCTGGACTGCAGATGTGTAACTCCTAATGATGCTACATGGCGACTACTTCAGTTTGACATACACTACACTGATCCAGCTGTGGAGCGACTTCCTGTCCACCTTCCTCTACAAAATGAAATGGTGTGTTGTACACAGAGGACGACTATCTTGATCAAGTAATTAACGATCCATCTAAGCTCATCACTAAACTAACAGCATGGTTAGATGCCAACCAACAACACCCACAAGCTCGATAGCACACTTGCGTAGAATTCCCTGAACACTGGACATGGCATCAAGATGGCAAATTCTGGGATAGACGTCGCAATAATCATGCCAAGGTTGGTCGTCTTGCTAATGTTGCTCCCAATCAAGGGGAGAGATTTTACTTACGAATGCTGCTCCATATAGTCAAAGGACCACGATGCTTTTCTGAAATACGGAACGTTGCTGGGCATCAGCACCCAACATTTCGTGCTGCATGTGACGCGCTGGGCCTGCTTGGCAATGGCCAGGAGTGGTTCCACGCCATGTCCGATGCAGCGCGTTGGGCATTTCCATGCCAATTAAGACAGCTTTTTGTCACATTGTTGCTTTTCTGTGAAGTCAAAGAGCCCCTCAGAGTATTTAATGAATATGTGAAGGTGATAGGGGAAGACATGTAGGCCAGTCTCAACGAGAGTTTCATGGCCCCGTTACCAATGCATCAATATTTTAAAAATAGTGCAGAAGAGTTTCATCCCCATCAAACTCTCTCTACTCCCATGAAACTCTTATCATCTATCTTTTCATCAATACGGTGCCACATCAGCCTATTTAATGCCCATGAAACTTTGATGAAACCCCACTAAAACTGGCCTTATATCGTGCAAAACAGCTGGCTCCAGACGCACCGGAAGCAATCATACAACATCATATCAAATCCTGTGTCTTACATGAACTAGAAAAGCTACTTAGACACGCTGGATACAGCCTAGATCACTTCAATTTGCCCCACCCAGATACATACTCTTCTGAGATCCTTGCAAACAGATTGATAATGGAAGAGCTTTCCTATGGTACAGGTGATGCAGGCACTCAAATAGAACAGTGCATCAGTCAGCTCAATACAGAACAGAGGCATATTTATGACCTCATACAACATTCAATCTCAAATGATTTAGGACAAACCTTTTTCGTCTATGGATATGGTGGAACCGACAAAACTTTTCTATGGAACACTTTGCTCACCAGTGTCAGAAGCAGAACACAGGAATAAAAAAACATATGAACGAAATATGCTAACGCTTTTAACCCTACAAGATTTCAAGACAGAAGAAAGTTTATGAATGTGGGCTTTAGAAGCAATGTAGAAAAAGCACAAGGAACAAAACAATAAGGAGCTTGGAGCTCATGTTTCATTTTCTCCAAAAGTTCCTTTAGGCCAGTCCCAATGAGTAGTTTATGGTGTTGTTGTTTCCAAGACTGTCATGTCATATAGAATAAAATGAAATTTGAATGAAACCTCATCCCTTGATGCAAAGTTTCATAAAGAGTTGGTAATCATGTCAAGAGAGTTTTTATCTAAATGACACTCATTTTTTCTCTCTTTTTGAATAAACTGTCATGTCAACAAAAATATCTATATGACAGCCTATTTAATGCAAATAAAAATTATATGAAACTTCCACTAAGACTGGCCTGAGTACTCGCTTGGTCACCGGTATACTAAAAATAAGTAGATTTCTAAGAGGGCATCCTACTTTTCAATTTGAATAGCCATCTATTTTAATAATACCTTTTTTTATTGTTTACTCCAGCAGTTGTACCCAAATCAAACCCTACAAATTCATCGAGACTGTGATATGTGAGACCTAGGTGTCATCCTTTTCCTTCTTCCTTCATCACCATCTCTAGCGCAGAGCACCGGAGCAGTGCTACCCAAGTCAACCCCCCTCCACCAAAACGAAAAAGAAAAAAAGAAAACACTCCAAACTTTCAAGAGGCCGATTCAATCAAGTATTCAGAAGGCAGTCTCCACCAAATAATAAGACTAGTACGAAACCGGTACGAGGTTAAGGGTTTTAAAGCACGAAACGAGTAAAGAGGATATTACAATGATTGTTTAAGCCCCTTGGGGTCAGTCACGCTTACAAGTCCTGAGTGGTGCTAACTAGGAAAGAGTATGTAGCAACAAACTAAACTGGCGACCCTTCAGCTGAGGAGCCAAAGAGCGACAGGCAACTTGGAGCTGGCCACCACACCCAGCTGTTACACGCCAAGGCCGTGCTTCAGATCCTGAATGGCAAGAAAAAAGAATGGTATAAACGTAGTGAGGAGAGATGTTTTAGAAGGGCTTACAGTAATAAAAGTACATAAAACTCTTGAACCATACATGCTACTCCCTCCATTCCAAATTATAAGATTTTTTTTTCTAGATTTGTAAGTTTTGCTATACATTTAGATATACACTAGTAAAAAAAACTATGTATCTAGAAAAATCAAATTGTGTTATAATTTAGAATAGATGGAGTACAACTAAATGCAAACAATGGGGAACGAAAACTTTAGTGCTTAAATCATGCTGTTACCTAAATTAAGCCACATCAAACTAATTGTCCTGTCCAGTGTGCTCTCAGAGTGTCCAAAACTCATGCAGTAGGGATCTAGTGTTTATGCTTCTACTATTGATGTTATTGACTAACAGTAGGGATCATAATCAATACTATTTAGCATTATAAATGTGTCTTGGCTCATCGTATAGTCCAAATTACATATGCAAAGAAAAGGGTTTTTCTCTCATGATAGAGTAGCACAACACATTTATGCAATTACTGAATACAAATAATGCAACTCAAAGCAAAATGCATCGATCAAATAATTACACAGAATACAGATGGAACTTCGAATATAGCTTTACATATTTGCCATTGCAGTCTACTGATGAGCACACAAAACAGTATCTAAAAGGACTCACTTCGAAATTCCCAGTTATGTGTAGCCTCTTTAAAGCATTTCCTTGATGGATAGTGTCTCGGTGAGACTCCAGAAACCTCGGGCGTTTCATGGCTGCCAAAAACAGTAAACCATAAGACAATGACTCGATAGCAACATTTACAGTAGCTTTCCACAGTTATTAAGAATTAGTAAGTCATTTTGACTTGTTTGGTTCATCCATTTTTCTATGTATCTAGACATATTATTATATCTAGATGAGTATAATGAATGTACCAAAAAAGTCAAATCAACTTATAATTTGGAACGGAGGGAGTAATAATTTCAGGGACCAAAGGTGCAGGTGGGGGATCACACACCACATTTGAATCAGTCCTGCAGTTAGAAGATGCAGCTTAATTACTGTATAAAACACAATGCATCTTTACCTTGGTTGGATGCATGTTCAGGCCCATGTCCTTGTTCTATCTTCATGCGCTCAGCTATAGATTTATAAGCATGCAAAGCCTCAAATGGAAAAACTGCAGGCAAGTAACAATATCAGCAATCGAGGGCGGAGCTTGTTTTTAACGGCAGAAATTACAATATTACCTCCTCTGGAAAAATATTCAGGTCTATGGCCTTGATTGAGCATCATAGGCTGAACAGCTTGAAAAAACTTTTCTGAATATTATAAGAGATAAACTATTAAGACAAGAATAAATCGATGGACCAGAAGCTTGCCACAGGAACATATCTAATAAGTAATGGGTGCAGGTCTTCCCCCGTTCAGATCAACTCTAATAGATGCAGCTTAATTTTGAAATTTAGAAAATACAGTGCATGTTTACCCTGGTTGGATGCATGTTCAGGACGATGTCCTTTTTCCATCATCATGTGGCCAGGTATGGATTTACAGTCGTGCGCAGTCTTGAGTGTAAAAACTGCAGAGAAACAACAATATCAGCAATTGAGTGTAAGAACTGCAGAGAAACAACAATATGAGCAAATCTGAAGCTGGAACTTGTTTTTAATAGCAGAAAATACTATATTACCTCCTCTGGATAAATATTCAGATGGATGGCCTTGTTTGAGCACCTTGCGCTGACCAGCTCGCAAAACTTTTTCTGAATATTTAATGAGCTTTCCAGTCAATCGCCAAAAGAAGTGGTTTTGCAAACGGGACTTTGTGATACAGTTGGGGCAGTTCAAGTTAGGCCAGTTTTCAGGCATTGAAGATCCAATAATCTAGTATACATGCTTTCAGCTAACTCTGAAGATCGCATTAGTTTTCTAGTCATCACAAGCAAACGAATTTCAAGTGATTTTGCCACAAAATAGAACATTGTATCTAGCAACGCAAGCGTGCAAGCTTGGAAGATCAAACAGAATCATTTGCATAAAAGGGTGTTTTATGCAACCAAAACATAGCATCATTCTTCAGCAAGTAAATAAATTTTAGACACCACAGCAACGAAAAAAGATAGAGAAGGACCTGGCTCAGCAAAATACAACATGGGGACATATACTTGGTTTGGCAAGTGATCGAGCTAAAGGCAGAGACAGATGGCAAACTAGATGCACGTACCAAATAGTTGTATCAGCAGCACTCCCAATTTCCTTGGTGAAATTGCTGTTGAAAATGTCGGTTGTTAATCAGCACAGCTGTATATCACAAATTAAACATGTCCTACAGTTGGTGTGTGATGCTAAAAAAGGTGATGCTCCTACTCAGAGGTATCCCATAACATTATAATACCTGAATAATCATGACAGTCCATCTGAGCTGAAGGAACCAACCTGCACAAACCAGCATATACGTAGCACAGATCTGTGTATATAAAATAAGCAGAGAAAACAACTACACAGTGCAGGGTTTCAGCTAGAACTCTTTCAATCAATGTGCATGATGTACCTCTTCTTCATCTCAAGATAGACCTTTGCAACATCTGTTGCTTGCTTCTTGCTGCCTACTTTCTTCACTTGACGCCTTGGACGGAAGCTAGCAAAGATTAGATCACAAAGGCAGCAGTCAGACAGTCGGTTGAGTGACATTATGCAGTGGAGAACGAAGCTTATTGCACCCTGGCGCGCGCGCGCGCACGCACACACACACGCACGCACCTGCACCTAATGGGCATTACGTCGTACAGCTCGTTCTGGGCGAGCGGGTAACGCGTCATCTCCTTGAGCTCAGGCATCTCAGAAACCATCTGCTCGACCAGCTCCGCTGCCTTGTTCCTGACGAGTTGCCAGTCCAGAGTGTTCCTGCAGCAAGCATATATACGGGACATTCGTTCGATCGCTCATCACATTACATATACTCATATAGATCGATGCAGCAGCACAAGCCACAAGCTAGATGTAAGAGAGAAGCGTAGGGTATTACCTGACATAAAGTGTGCGAAGGAGAGGACATCGGTAACAAGGGCGACGAGGCAAGGACACTCAGAGAGCGCAGCACGATGCCTGTACAACTTTATGAACCAGTCGCGGACGACACCTTCCTTGGCTGTGTCGCCGTCGGCGAATCTGTGGATGGCCATGAGGTAATGGAGGAAGAGCGTGAGGAGTCCAGCGTGGCTGCTCAATTCCCAGATGGGTGCGAAGGTCCTGACGTGGTCACACGCCTCCTCGAGCTGGCCTGCCTTGATCCGCTTCACCAGGTCCTCGACGTCGAAGATCACACGCAACTTATTTTTGGCCCTGCGATGTTAACCAGAGGATCGATCAGTCATACACTCATACGCATTCATTCGCAAGAGGATTTTTGGTGGTGGGTGTGTTGGGGTTGAGATTGAGGGCATACACATGGTAGATCTGGTCGTAGCAGTTGTCCCGGAGGTACGCAAGGAGCCGGCGCCAACGGAGACGCTCCGTGCATGGGTAGTCCGGGATGTAGTCGCAGTCGCACTGCTTGCGCTTGCCGGAGGCTGCCGCCTCGCCGACACCGGCGGCCGCCGCACGCCCGCCCTGGCCGGAGACCGCCGCCGCCTCACGCTCGCCCAGGTCGGAGACCGCCGCCGCCGCACGCCCGCCCTCGCCGGAGACCGCCACCGCCTCACGCTCGCCCTGGCCGTAGACCGCCACCGCCGCACGCTCGCCCTGGCCGGAGATAGCCACCGCCGCACGCTCGCCCTGGTCGGAGACAGCCACCGCGGCAAGCTCGCCCTGACCGAGGACCGCCAGCGCACGCCCGCCCTCAGCGGAGCTCGCCATCTCTCTCGGGAAGATTTTGATCTTCTACGATTCCTGTGTTTTGTGTGCGTGGGTTTGGCCGTTTTGGGGAGATGACATGCCAGGATTATATGTGCGAGGCAGTGTGATGCGATTGCTTGGCGAAAGGCGGGGGCGAGGGCGGAAACGGGAGAAGTAAGGGAGGAAACGGGAGATGTAAGGGCGGGAAAACGGGAGACGATTGCATCCCATCTCCTTTTTCACTGACGCGCGGGTGTCAAATTCTTTTTCCTCCTCTCCCCTTGACGAGCACCTTTCGCATGCCCGAACCGACAACGCAGCGGACGAGCGCTCGATCTAACGCAGAGGAGGAGGAGCCCCGAAGCCGGCGAGGAGACTCCTTCCTGGGCGGCTCCCATCTTCCCCGAGATCAACGACCCCCGTCTCTTTCTCTCGGAGTATAGCGTCGTTGCTGCAGTAGGAGCCGGAGCCGACAGATGGGCACGGGCACATCTGCTTTGGCGATCAAACCGCGATCCACGGTGATCGCCTACTTGGACAACCAAACCGTGAGCCTCCACCGTGGCGTGAGGATGGGGACGCCGCCGGGCAAGCTTAGCTTCAGCCATGGTGCGAGGCGATGGCCATCCAAATCGAAAAGTAGTGGGCCTGATTTAGGTAGCATTACTAGAGATGCTCTTCAAAATCTACTTATTTTTGGTATACGGGCGACAGGGCGAGGACAAAAAAACGGTACTTAAGGATGCCGATAACTAATCGAGCACAAAAAAGATTAGTGCAAACAGAAATCGATACAATCTTTATCTTTACAAGAAATATGCACCATGAAATTTACCTTCTAATCTTTCCACGTGTTCAGCTATTCAAAAGGTCATGTTCACAACGTCACAACTCCATCCGGTAGGGGGTACCGTGCAGCACGACTGTGTACCCATTGGTAAAGATTTCCAAACGTGCCGGCATGACACTACACGGCCCTAGCCCGCTTTGGCACGCACGGCAGCGAACACGGTTGATGAGGCGTGCCGTACACCACGCTTGAGTTTAGGCCTGTGCACGGCACTAAACTTGCTGGACTGCGTGCACGGTGTGACGCGTCTTCAAGCATCGGCAGCCCAGCCGTGCCCCGTGGCCGGCCACGCAATCAAAATTACAAAAACATTCTTTCAAATCATAAGTTTACAGAGATAACTTCTAACTCATCAAAACATCGGACAATGCTAGAAAAAAAAGCAAAGAGCAAAGAACAAAGAAAGAACAAAGGTAAGTGTTGAAACTAAAACTAATTAAAGTAGGAGTCATGCAATGGTCGCCTCATTAAAAACCTGCTTTAGGTAAAACTCACCCTTGTAAGAAACCCTAAACAGGAAAAGAGTACAACCAGCTCCTAAAATTGTTCATAAATTCATTACATCCAAATTTCTCCAAAGATGTCCAAGTCTTAATAGCTATTACGTAACCATTACATAAATGGGGAACTTAATCAACATCAAGATAAAGTGCTTCAAAGGCCTCTTCCAGCTCCTTATCCTCCACCATGTGCTGCAGTCTTGATTCAAAGATTCTCCCGATCCTTGATGCAAAGTTAGTGCCTCCACAGCCTCGTGGTTCAGCCTCCCATGACGCTCCTCGATGATCCCGCCAGGTGAGTGCTAAAGGTAGATTCTCAAGAAATTGTTGACACAGCACAAAAAAAATATCTTTTGCAAGAATAGAAAAGCACAGGATAAATAAGCTTGTGCTCATGCCACCATTGCATGAGGTCAAAATCATCATCTAACTGGCTGACTGTGTCAGAGTCCAGGTAGGATGCAAGCTCACTAGAGTTAGAAGCGTAAGTCGCCTATAGCAAAGAAGTGGCGTAAACACACCCCGGACCGATCAAGATTAGGAGGGAGGGAGAACAGCCACTCCAATGTCAAGCTCATCATCATCATAAATGTCACCAAAGTCGTTTTTTTTTTTACGAGAAAGGGATGCGAGAACAGCCCTTTTGAGCCTAACAGAGTCATACATTGCATCATACATGTTGTACATTCTAAAGAGAAGAGCTCCGTGTCCAAAGAACTTGTTAGTGTAATCAACATTAAAAGAGAATTCAACTTTCTAAGCACTTTGGTAAAGCCCTTAATCTTAGCTCTTGGATCCAAAGATGAATGCAATGGAATAAAGATCGTATGTTCTTTCAAGATTTATTATATTTGTCAATCATAGACTGCACAACAGATCTCAGATGTTCATCATGTTGATATTTATGCAGGTGAACAACAATCTTAACAATATGATGAATCATAAGTGGAGAAGTAGGATAGTACACACCAGATAAAGCAACAGTAGAGTCATAAAACATTTCAAGAAATTGCAACATCTTAGTTGCCATATCCCAGTGATCATCAGTCAACAGGAAAGGACTACCTGCAGGTCTAAGGTAATTAGCCTCAATGAAAGTACTAAAAGTACTCCTGTGAGGTAACAATGTTTTCAGCATAAGGTAGGTGGAGTTCCACCTAACATCCATGTCCAGTGAGAACTTCCTAGGTCTAACATTGCTAGCAATGCAATAACTCTTGTATGTAGCAATTCTTTGATTAGAGAAGTTCAAAAAAGAGATTGCAGTTCTAAAGTTGTCAATGAGAGGATTAACAGCAGCCAATGCTTCCTTAACAATCAGGTTAATAATATGACAAGCACATCGTTGATGCAAAAACAGATCAGCACCTAAATACTCTTTAAGTATAGGTTTCAGTTTATCCATTGCATTTTTATTGGCAGATGCATTATCCAAAGTCACAAAAAAACCTTGTTAAGTATACCATACTCAGCAAGGACAGTTTTAACATGCTCAGCAATGTTTTCAGCATTATGGGAGACATCAATTAACCTTAAACCAAGCACCCTTTTCTCTAATTGCCAATCAGCATTAATGAAATGAGCCACAACAGATAGATAATCTTCTTTGGCATTTCCAGACCAAATATCAGAGGTAACAGCAACAGATGAAACAACATTGTCTTGCAAACAAGTCATTAATTTTTCACGTTTACCATTGAAGTGCTTAAACAGATCTCTACCAGTAGTTTGCTTAGAGACAGGTGCAAAGGCAGTTTTAATGTAATATTTAAAGGCATCAGTTTCACCAATCAGTAAAGGTAAATCTAGCCTAGCAAGCATACGAACAAGCTCAACACGAGTTACATCAGCATTGTACTCCCAGCGACGAACAGAACCATCAGGATTAAAACCAATTTGAGTTTGAGACATGCGACATTTCTCACGACGCTTAACACAAACCTTAAGATGCCGAGTAAGATGTCCAGTGCCATTAGCAGAATAAGCAGAGTATTGTTTCTTGCAATGTTTGCAAGTGGCAGCATACCTGACGGGTCTCGCCTTACCTGGCACCTTCTTGAAGTGCTTCTCAAAATCATCCCAGACAGCAGAGGTAGAAGGCCGATTGGAGCCTGCCACCTCACTGTCGCCACCGTCGGCATCGGGATCGGCCCCTTCCCCGTGGACCGGGACCGCATCTTGGTCATAGGGAAGGGGATCAGCAGCAGACCGCCCAAATAGCTCGGCGCAGTCCTCGCGGACATCGTCCTCCTCATCATCCCCGGCTAACCCGCACATCCGCAGCTCGTCGTTCTGGGAGTGATCAAACTCCCCTTCATCGGCGTCGCCTATGCCTGGGGCTATCTTTGCCGTCTCTGGTTCCTCGACGGCTGCATCAATCAACAACAGAAAAAGACGGTTAGGGTAGGGGATTAGGGTTAGGGTAGGGGATTAGGGTAGGGGATTACCCTTACCTCTAGAGCCAGAGCGCCGGAAACGACGATGAGATGGACCGGATGCACACCCCCGGTACCTCAACGGAGACCGGAGCCCCGGAGGTGGCGGCGGTCGGCGATGAGAACGACGGACAGAAGACAGAGATGCGTCGAGGATGCTAAGAACGAGTCTCAATCGACTTTCAAGGATGAAGAACAAGGGAACAGATGGAGATTGAAGGCGGGAACCACCAGATCTGAGAGAGAAGAGGGAGATTGGGGCAGAGAGGGAAAGCAGGGAGATTGAGGACGGAACCCACCGGATCTGACCCCTTACCCGCTGGAGAACGCCATGGACACGGCGGAGTAGGGGAACGAGGCGACGATCAGGCGAACGGGCGAGAGCGAGGAGCGAGACGACAGCGGGCGAGAGCGACGAGCGAGACGAGAGCGGCATGAGGGAGACGAGAGCAGGCGAAATGAGCTAGGGTTTGGATGGTGGGGGGGCGGCCGCGACGGGTGACTTATATACCGTAGCCCCGCCGGCGACCCAGAGTTGTGCCTGAGCCGTGTTGCCCGTTGGAACGGGCCGTGCCCGGGCCGGCACTACGGGCCGACTCCTCGGCCCAGGCACAGGCACGGCTGGGGCGGGCTAGGGCTGGGCTTTTTCGCACCAGGCTCGTGCCAGCTCGTTTCAACCGGCCCGTTTGGAAATCTTTACCCATCAGCCCTCTCTCTCTCTCGTCCTCTTTGCCATTCATGTTGGGAACCAGAGAACAAGAGAGGAAAAGGAGAAGGTAGAGGAGGAGAAAAGGAAGGAAGAAGAGGAGAGGAGGAGGACGCTGCAGCCACGATGGAGGTCATCGTCGGCAAGCTTCCCCACGCCACCACCTCGCTGGAGTTGAAGGAGGCAGCCCCAAGCTTCGTCATCTTCTTCCTCAAGCCATGGAGCAAGCCCGACGTCGATCTCCCACCACAATGAGTTCCGGTCCGAACTGATGTAGATGGAGCTTCTCCAAGACATGGTGAGCACATCCCCAAAGCCTAATTTCATCTTCAATAACCTCCCATGGCCAATCCATGAGCTTCACCTCTCATCCATGGCCACCACCACCATGGATGGGGTCGAGCTCACCATAGCCCATGCATGGCACATCCATCACTTGTAAAAGCTTCCCTACATCACTAGAAAGCCATAGGAATAAACCGCACTCGATTTGGAGCCCGGATGTCCCAGGAATCATCTCCAACGTTTTTACACCCGAGCTGTTCGTCGTTACCAGTGTTCGTCCCAACGAAATGCTCCGGCGCACGCGTTCGTCCCTGGCGGACTGTCCGCCCGAATTCGTGGGTTGTCCGCTGTAGCACAGCATCACAACCCCAACTTGTAAAGGTCGTAGAAGATGCGTTTGAGCTCCAAAAATGGTGAAACGAGTTTCGTTGTGCTCCATAGAATATCCTCTATCAGCTAGACATAACTTTGGCATCAAAGGGGATATCTCATTTTTGACCACCGGATGAGGCTAAGCCCTTATTATTTACCAGAGGCTCCGCCACACGCACCGGAGTGTCCGATAAGTTATAAATCACAGACAAAGGAGTTTCCTGACAGCACAGACTTCATACCAGAGAGTCCGATCTTAGTTCGGAGGGTCCGATGTTCCCAGTATGTTCTTTTCCCACTAAGTCCCAAAACCACCGGACTGTCCAACATTCACGTTGGACTACCCGATGACACAAACCGACAACCCTTCAATGATTACCTGAACACTCCCTCTTGCATGTTTAATATAATGTCATGCGTACATAAGTATCTCATACATAGACATATATATAGGTACGTGTTATCGGATAGACGTCCAGCGATGTTCCAAGCTATGGGATCCTTGCTCGTCCAACAGGCAGGCACCCCACTATTATGAACCCTACTTTGGATACTTACCAAGTTGCATTATGAGTTATGCATTATATATAGTCTTGGATAATGATCACCTCTACACTACACCTAGAGTAGTCTAATAATCTGTAGAAGCCTCTCATCTAAACAATGGGAATGAGAACGCTTAATGCTTATTGCTTAGTTGCTTGGACAACGGTAGAAGTCGAGCAAGAGAAGGGAACTCATACTCGCGCGTGTAGGATGCTAGACCTGGATAATTAACTGCTAAAACCAATGAGAGTACAACTTGACTTACCTAACTAATCTGGCTAAGGACTAATATCCCTAATATGCTAATCTTAATGATAACTTGGATATCTTGCTCATGCGAGGGGTAGGTCGTCGTGAGTGTAGGATCTCAGGTGACGTAGGCACGTAGCTCGTGGAGCAGTAAGGACCGTGTATTGAGATACGTAAGTTCGAGTAACCACACGTACAGAACACATGTCGTGGATGGGGTCGACAAGCCAAGTAACTAGTTACGACCTGTTTATCCGTGAAACTGGCAAGGGGGTGGCGCCGGGAAGATGGTGTACGTTACGAACCGAGGACCCGTTACAGTACAGAAGCCTGACCCGAGACTGGGAAGAGGGGTGGAAACCTGACCCGGGCACCCGCTCGAACCTTTCATGTGACACTCAGGCCGGATTAGGGAAATGTTGGAAGGCGTGAGGCAACCCTTACTCTCGTGTACGAGGTATGGTGGTTAGTTCCGTCCTTCCGTGTGGGTACAGTTGTACACCTCTGTAGAGTCTTGAAAACCTGGAGTCCCTCGGGACGGAACTATTCGGTTGTTCTTTCTTTCTGTACCCATGGTAGCATGAATGATGGACTATGAGCACTTCTGTTATAATGATAAATACGTTTACTTCTATGTTAAGCATATCATGTCATATTCTTAATGAACATCATTGCTTTCTGCACTTATACAAATGTCTGATAATCACGCTATATATTCACCAAATACTATATGATGGAATTAAGCCCTGCGAATACGCAATGTACTCACGGTGCTGCTGTTAAGTTGTTTTGTAGGTAAAGGACATTGGCGGCCATCTCACCCATCGGCGGTGGCAAAGTGGGTGAATGGCAGGAGCCGTCCAGATTATGGTGGCAACACCCATGGGCAAGGTGAGCACTAGTTATTAGCTATATGAGTGATCTGTAGCATAGCGGTGTTGGTAAGAGAGTCGTTTGGTTCACACTACATTTAGTCTTACATTGTATAATTAATTTATTATATTCAACAAGACTTGTAATATATGTTTCTGCTGAATTATTATGTGCTCCGATGATGGGATGTAATATTGAGTTGTGGAGGCTATTGTGATATGATACTCAACCTGGTTCTTAAGAGGAGTTGTCAAGTGCGCTCCTAGGGAGCCACCGATGTTAATTTGTTTAAATTGGATCAGTCAAGTGGATGACACTCGATTTAAACGAATTAACACAGCGAGTCCCCACAGACTGCAACACCCCTCTGCGTTGCAGCAGGCTAACACAAGCATATATCGTTGATGCTTACTGCTGCGTTGAGGATGAGCGACTCCGGCATTTTAGAAAGGAATCTTTCCAGAAGAAATACAGGTCAAGTTCCTACAAAACATTAGTTGACGCTGCTAATAGTGGCATCACACGTGCCTCCGACGTTGGCCAAGTAACCTTCTTACTAGGTTCATTCACAGGAAGCCCAAGATACTACTACCAGAACTATCAAGATTGTGTTGCAATATGTCTTAGGTTCGGATGTCTGGATCTATTTACCACCTTCACATGCAATGCTTTGTGGCCAGAAATTGAAGACGCCTTATCATCCATACCAGGCCAGCAGGCTTCTGACATACCTGATATTGTTGATTTGAGTTTTTCAGATGAAGCTTAAACTGCTCATGAATGATATAGAGAAGAATGAATTTTTTGGACCCACACTTGCAGGTATTTTTCTAATACCTTATCATTCCATCCTAAACATAACATTGTTACTCCACTCCACTGATGAAATGCACTTCCCTTTAAACTCCGATGCCCCTAATTTTTGGTACCCGTTCATTTCTACGGTCGTATACACAATTGAATTCCAAAAGAGAGGTCTCCCACATGTACACCTCATACTCTGGCTTAGAAAGGATAGTCCTCTCGAAGCTTCTCGGATAGATGCATTCATATCAGCGTAGCTTCCAGATCCAACTACTGATGCCACGGGTTTCGAGGCAGTGTCAAAGTTCATGATTCATGGCCCCTGCGGATCTGTACAACCCTCCTCTCCTTGCATGAACAATGGAAAATGCGACAAATTCTACCAAAAAAATTTTGTGAACAGACGACAGTGCTACCCAACAGTTACGTTAATTATGCTCGCCCAAATAATGGTATCACTGCCCACAAAAACGGAGTTCAGGTGGACAACACATTTGTAGTGCCACATAATGTAGACCTATTGGTCAAATACCAAGCACATATAAATGTCGAGAGTGTCGATCGCAATGGAATGGAGAGATATCTATTCAAGTACACAAACAAAGGCCCCGATTCTGCTAAAGCTACGTACGCTCCAGAGAAAGAGAGGTACCTCTGACAATGCCGCTGCGATGTTTAATGAGATTAACGAATACCTGGACTGCAGATGTGTAACTCCTAATGATGCTACATGGCGACTACTTCAGTTTGACTTACACTACACTGATCCAGCTGTGGAGCGACTTCCTGTCCACCTTCCTCTACAAAATGAAATGGTGTGTTGTACACAGAGGACGACTATCTTGATCAAGTAATTAACGATCCATCTAAGCTCATCACTAAACTAACAGCATGGTTAGATGCCAACCAACAACACCCACAAGCTCGATAGCACACTTGCGTAGAATTCCCTGAACACTGGACATGGCATCAAGATGGCAAATTCTGGGATAGACGTCGCAATAATCATGCCAAGGTTGGTCGTCTTGCTAATGTTGCTCCCAATCAAGGGGAGAGATTTTACTTACGAATGCTGCTCCACATAGTCAAAGGACCACGATGCTTTTCTGAAATACGGAACGTTGCTGGGCATCAGCACCCAACATTTCGTGCTGCATGTGACGCGCTGGGCCTGCTTGGCAATGGCCAGGAGTGGTTCCACGCCATGTCCGATGCAGCGCGTTGGGCATTTCCATGCCAATTAAGACAGCTTTTTGTCACATTGTTGCTTTTTCTGTGAAGTCAAAGAGCCCCTCAGAGTATTTAATGAATATGTGAAGGTGATAGGGGAAGACATGCTATATCGTGCAAAACCGCTGGCTCCGGACGCACCGGAAGCAATCATACAACAGCATATCAAATCCTGTGTCTTACATGAACTAGAAAAGCTACTTAGACACGCTGGATACAGCCTAGATCACTTCAATTTGCCCCAGCCAGATACAAACTCTTCTGAGATCCTTGCAAACAGATTGATAATGGAAGAGCTTTCATATGGTACAGGTGATGCAGGCACTCAAATAGAACAGTGCATCAGTCAGCTCAATACAGAACAGAAGCAT